AATTGTCTGGCTGAAGGATGACATTCAGCTCTCGAATAACCAACATTACAGTATCTCACATTTTGCCACCGCCGATGAATATTCCGACTCCACATTGCGTGTAATTACCATCGAGAAACGTCAGTATGGCGATTATGTTTGTAAGGCAGTCAACAAGTTGGGTCAAGCTGAATCGCGTGTCAATCTCTTCGAGACTGTGATTCCAGTGTGCCCACCAGCTTGCGGGCAGGCATATTATGGCGGCGCTGAACACTTGGCGGCCACCACATTTGTGTTATTGGCAATGTTGGGTGCGGCGGTGTTTGCAAGATAAATACAAGGACTATTTAGAAATATGTACGCATTGATACAAACATATGTACATACATATGTATATGTACTTGTAGACACGTGTTCGTAAATGTGTAAGAGAGTTGGCAACAAAAGAAAAGTGACAAACGCCGAGGAAGGGAAGTTATTAAATACAAAAATATGTATATCAAAGGCAAGCTGGAGCAGTTCTGAATCTTAGATGTTTTCCGAATTAAATAAAACGAATCAACGCATACGATTAATAGAAACTCGAATAGAAGATATGACAAAAAAACAAAAGTAAAATTAACGCATTTAAAACCAAAACAGAAATTAAATTAAAAAAAAAACATGCATACATAAATAATTACAAGAGTAAATACTTACGTTGATATAAAGGCGATAAAGTACGAAATAAAGCATTCCAGCAGTCAAAAAGTCGCAAAAATTCGCTTAATTCTTTATTTTAGTATTTTATTTTTTTATTTTTACTTTATTGATACACATAGTACATACATATTTACATACATATGTAAGTCATTTGTTGTAAAGTTACAAAACTAACGTCCATTTTAGTTAAGCGCACCGCAAACACTTTTCACACATACATGTGTACATACATATTTATATATTTACCTGCATTCATATCAGATTGCTAGATACATATATGGGCTTATATGTACATATGTAAGTAAGCAGTTCTTACTTTCATAGGAATGGGTAACTCTCTGTAAATCTCTAACATCCATTTACATACATATCTGCTGATGGCACTACTTTATATACATACATACAAATTGTAGAATCTTGTGGATATTTTTTCAGTTGATATCGCCAACCAACCCCGTCCGTAATTAAATTTTCAATTAATTATTTCTTAAGCACCTCAAACATTTAAAAGCTCTCTCTCTACAACATCACAAAATAATATTTTGTATTAAAATTTTATATTAACATCACACTTGGACCGATTTGCGATTGTTTAATTAAGAACACAATCATTACTGTATTTGTGTGACGAATTTCCTTCAAATTAATAGATACTAATTTTCTATTCGTCTCTAAAATTAAAAAAAAAAAGAAATGATCATAAATTTAAAATTTATTAGTAATGAAAAAAATAATAATGAATTTACTTTAAGTGAAAAAAGTTTGCATCTTGTATTTATACGTATATACATAAATAAAAAAAATGCTAAGCGAAATTTCTATAAGATTTTTGTATAATCTAATCTAAATACATACGAGTACATCATTTTACCGCTCTGTAAAACATAAGTTCTGTTATAAGTAAAACGAATAATTTTTATATTAAATACATTTGTGTGTGTAACATTTATGTATGTGACTACGACCCATCTCTTATTGGGTGTAAATAAAAGAAAAGTAAAGAACTTACATTAAATACGATTATCATCTTCAATTATAAAAGAAAAAGAAAAGTGTAATAATAATGTGTGAAAAACCAATAGAATAAAACAGAATTAATTAAAATTATAAATGTATGTATGTATGTTTATTTATGGGTCGAAAAGAAAAACCAGGAAGTATGTCAAAGTTCGGATTTTTTGCATTAAGGAAAATAACCGTTTTATGTTAAATACATACACTGAGAAAAGTGTTTAATCTTGATGACTAAATATCTTTAGTTGACAATATTTGGGAAGTATTACGAAGGTTTGGGACATCTAGTACTTATCACAATTATGCACATATTGTGCAATATTTAAAAAAAAATTCAACAAATTTTCGTAAAAGGGTCGAGATTTTTAATTAGATTTCTTAGACAAATTTTAACCATTCAGTTTTTCCGGCAATTAAATACTTTTAATTTAGTTGTCGAAGCTTAACTCTTATCAGTGCAAACGATTCTGGCCGAGTGCAATAAAGCACGCCAGTCGGTTTTTTCTGGGCCAACTGAAGCTAATTGGTAATGTCAAGTGAATTTAAGTCCTCTGCCTGCCCTTTTCATCACAACGGATGCCTTACCCTTCCTCTGTTACCAACATCGCGATCCGAAAGTCACCGGAGTCGCTGTATTTCAATTGTTGTTAATGCGGGTTCCTATATAAACGAAATCGTCTACTTTTTCGAACTTATAACTGTGTGTGGGTAACAAGACGCAGAACAGTTTTAGCCAGTTTTTTTTTAATTGTACAAATGTGGTTCAGTTCTGTAGCTCTTCTCCAGCATCAGATCAAAGAAATAACACTAATGGGAGTTGCCCTGTGTGAGGTAGAGTTTCAAGGACTTTTGCGTGTGTAAATTTGAGGTCTCTCCACGGCTGGATCGGTCCGAAATTTGTCCAGACATCCAATAGGTGGACGATTTAATATTATTTCCAGAGATTTAGTGCGTGTAGGGGGGCAGTGAAACCCTGACGACCAAGGAAGTCGTCCTCTGCACTCGTTCCACCTTAGCTCTGGGCAGTGTTGTTTAGCGCAGGCCACCCCATACGGTAACGCCGTAGAAAAGGATGGGTCTCATCACAGCTGTGTTCATCCAGTGTACTAATGCGGTTTTATTCCCCTTTTTTAGGTCGTCTAAATTTCTAGTAAAATTTTCGGGCATTTTTCCCATGCGTATTACAAATTGAGATCTATAATAGCTAGGCAGCTAGCGCCCGTAAAAGAGGTACTAGTGGGGCATTCCAAGTAAAACTGCCGTAGCAAGGGCTGCAATCGGGCTTACGGAAACTGGATGCCTCAAATACTCAGCGTCTGCACACTCTAAAATTGTTGAAAGTATTGATTTCGTTTCTGATTGCTGGATCACTGTGTCTCTAAATGACTCTTAGTGACACTTTCTCTAAACACCATCGATTATAGGATGGTGGGTGCTCTCAAAATTGGTCTGGATGTGCCTGACCTGCCTCTAAAATGCATCCAAATATTTTCTAATTAGACTCATGTATGCATATGGTTACCAGGCCATAGTCACATTGCGGGATTTTGCATGGCTGACAAGTTGACGAGAAACGGTATTCATACCTGAAGCGATATCTATAGCAGTTGGGCCTCTTGTCAGTCTGTGGAGTGGTTCACAATGCGGACATATGCATATTGAGGTTGAGTCTGGATAAATAAGACTTCAACCTGTTACAGTATCCATATAGTAATTGAGTCACAGTTTGGTGGATGTCTCCAGGTAGCTGAACCTCTTCGTCCACGATGTGCGGTTGATACAACGTCGTCCGATGGTTGTGCAACGGGCGGATCTCATCCGTGAGTTCGTAGAGATGCGTTCTTATGTAACTCTGTCGGGTGTCCGTCATTTGCCAAGTTGGTTGTTTTTTTGGCAGCGCCCCCTAAATTTTTGGTCTCTGACCTAAACGAAATATAAGACTAAACAAAACTTTTAACCTTGATGTTAAACTGTGCCCCCAAGGTGATATATTTCGCATTGAAAACACATGGGATTCTTCTATATTTTACTTTTAACACATTTTCTTCTGAACCAGTAGGTATATAGAAATGGGATATATATTCTTATAGGAAATTTAACACTCTACAAAAAGCATATGATTTTTCAATAAATTCGTTCCTTTCAAAGTTAAGTGCCTTGTATGTTGCGAGCAACGTTTCTTTGTATTTGCCCGAGGTGCTGCCGGCTAGCGCCTTGAGGATCTTGTTGCGTTTCTGTACTTTATTGAGAATTGCAATTGTGTGCACCGAAAAGAAGAGCAGACTATCGTAAGTAACTCGGAGAATTTTCGGGTCATTCATGCCATCGACGTGAATTTCCTGCTGTAGTCTGAGCTTCTTCGTCCAGTCAAAAGGGTTGTCGAAGATTTTGTATGGGATATGGTTAGGTTCATTGCAGCGAAGAATCGAGAGGTAACCGTTTACTTTCGAGTACAAGTCATATATTCCATTCCCAGACGCCATTACCGAGCAGTCATCAGCATAAGAGACAATCGAGACTCCCTCTGGGGGTTGATGAAGCTTTGAGATATACAGCCCAATTCTTAATATTCCCGGGGAGTTTGTCCTCCGGGAATTTGTTTCTCCCGAGTAAGAAATCCTCCAATAAATAACTCTCAGTGAGTAGCATTTTCCCCGGAAATCTGGAAGGAGGAAATTGGAAATTCAAACTTCGAAAGAGCTGATTGGCACTTTTTTATAGCACAACTCCGTCATTTAAAAATAAATCCTCAGGGAATTTTTATTCATGGTACGAGGAAGTGAAAGATAAAATTCCCAGGGAGTTTCTGTTCAGAATCGGCCTGATAGTAGTTAAACAGTATCGGAGAAAGGACACCACCCTGTGGGACTCCCAGTGCCAAACGATTAAGGTCTCGAGTTGTTTAAGTGTTTAGAGTTACGTAAGTGCGTTGAATGTTTACACCGTTAATATCATGCTGATTGGTAGCCATGGTCAGAGTGCAAGTAAGGTACGGAGAGTTATCAAGCGATAAGACTCTCCTTTGTTAGCTTATACAATTGTTTTAATAGGAACATGCCTAGTCCGTACTGAAGTGTAAACTCTCGGCAAAAATATTTACTTCCCGCATTTCCTCATGTTTATTCTGTCATGGCGCTTAGTAAGTTTAGACAGAGGTCTTACGAATAACCACAATGAGCAATGATTGGGAGGGTTCGCCTATCCAACACACATTGATCTGGAAAACCCCGGAATCGGCTGGAATCGAAATGTTTATGGTCTTACGCAATGATGACAGTAAAATGTATAGAAAAATTTAAAATAAGCACAGTTTTATTTACTTCAAACATAAACACGAACATTAATTTAATAAAATACAAATTACATTTTGCAGCAAACTCCTTCATTTGATGGAGGCACCGACAGTTGCCATGCGATAGTACATAGAAAATTCGGCTTCGTAGTCTGCATATGATTGATTATTGAAATTTCGTTGTGGTGGAATATATCGACGCAAAGGATTCGAAAGTATAAAATCGTAAAGTTTTAATAATTTTTGTAGAGTTCGATTAGTGTTTATGCTGGTTACATCGATTTTATCCAACATTTCTTCGATTTGTTCACGGTGTTGTTTGATCTTTTGTCTACAGCTTTGTGCGTCGACTAGAATATAAAACAAAAAATGTAAATGCAAATAATCAAATAGCGGCATTTATGTAAGCCTTATAACAATTGGCAGCGCTGCGATGCCTACCCATAATCAAATCAAAATCCAATTTCAAATCAAGCGAATGCTGGGCAATTAAATCCGCCCACTTGATACGATTACGCACTTCCTGCAAAGCCCCTGAAGCGGTCAGCAAACTGCCTGGCGCCAATTGGATTGTAGAGGAGAGCTCACGTGAATCCACGATCAACGGATTGGGTGACAAATGGTAAGCACTGAAAATACATTTATAGGGGTTAAAATCTGTATATTTACTATGTATTAACATTTCGATGCATTTTAAGCGATATCCCACCATTCTTTCGTTACGCAACTAAACTTCTCAAATGGGATTTCGACAAATGTACAAAGCTCGCTGGAGTATGGTGGCAAATTGAAACGACCCTCGGTGTAGTTACTGCTGGTAGCCGCAGGCATAAGTGTGATATCCGCACTTCCCACACTACGTCTTGATGTGCCTGTGATATTTGAAGTGGTTGAGTTAAGTGACAAAATGGTGGAGTCAAAGTCCAACTTCGTGCTGCAAAATACCATGTCTCCACCACCCATTTCAAAGCTATCACCCATGGTGGACATATTATTGTTAGCTTTTAGTTTCGTAGGTAGGAAGTTTGCTTTAATGCCGCTGTTGACATTGGGAGCAACGCTACCGACGGCAGAGGATATTTGCATATCATCCAATAAACGTTTCAACATATTTTTTGAATAAAGAATCTTCTCTTTGATTTGCCCTAATAGCTGCATTTCATATTGAATATGATTAATGGACGTATTAATCTCACTATAAACTTGTTTTATGGATCCCAAAATGACCTATCAGAATTTATTAAAAATCAGTAGCAATTAACAGAGAAGAGCAACCTTACCTCATGATTCTCTAATTGTTTTGCTCCATAATCTATGTCTGCTTTGCACTGTTCAATTTGTTGAGCAATAAAATCATTTTGACTTTTTGAAAAATTTCGCAAATTGTACTGGACCAAATAGTCAGATATGATTTCGTTGACATTATCATCAGCATTGGCATTAAATAAATTCACTTTCTTTTGCAATTCGTCCACAAAGGGGTCATAAGCATCGGTGAATCGTTCTTCCAGCGTGATAAGTTCCTTTCGGGCAGACAAAAACTTCACGACCATGCCTAGGAGATCCGCTTTCGTTTGCATCAGTTTAATTTCGAATGATGATAAAGGCTCTTTTGAGCCTACTCCACTTATGGAATGAGTTATGGATTCCTCATTGTTTGATTTATTCATTAAAGACATTAAGTATTGCAGCTGTTCATCTTTCAAACGCATTATAATGTTAAAAAAAATGAAATTTGGAATATTCGAAAAGGTTTTTCGCATTTTAACCCATAAAGCATCCTTTGCCTCCTGAACGGTATTTGCTTTGAAAATAAAAAGTAACATTTTTTAATACATATGTATGTACATATGTATAACATAATTGATATAGAAATTTATAATTTTTTAACTTACGACTGCTCGCCTGATTTAGATAGAAGGTGTAAAAATCATCCAGATCCCGTAAAGCCTGTTTAACCCCATCTAAAGCTATAGTTTCACTTGCGTTTTTTGCTGTCAACCGCACTGGCATAGTGGCTGTAATACGTTCCTTGTTTTTTTCTTCCTGTTTTATTTGTTTATCCAATGCTAGGGATTTAAATTCTAATAAACTAACCCGTGACTTCAGAGTTTTTTGCTTATGGTGAAGGTTAATGTGTTGGATGTCTGAATAATAAAATAATAAATATACGTTTTATATCTATTTTGCTTTATTTAATGTTACTTTTTGTTTTAATATTGACAGCCAGTGTCTCGTATTCCTTCCTGTATTCATCCAAACGCATTGTTATGTCTTCCTTTTGCTTCATTAATTCATTCATTTTAAGAAAAGTTTGCATTTCTTTAGGTAAAAAGCTTCGAGCGGAATTCTATAAAACAAATATATAAATTCTAAGTGTTGCAACTAAAGTATTCGCAATCAAGCATTTCATTACTACAACTGAAGTAATCGGAATGCCAAACATTTTCGGTATTAAAGTTACAGTACAATTACAAATCAAAATAAGCTAAATTTTTTAAAGCCACTCTTTTGTTTCTTAGTTCTCACAAAAGCATAACTCCGCAACTTAGCATGGTAAAATGAATGTCGAACATTGGCCATCTGCAGATTTTTCCCATGTGGATCATTTATTTAGAACAAGGTGGAATGCAAAAACTTGATTTGTGGGACCAAGGGGATTGTGGATTTATCGACATCTTAAAAACAAGCGAGGTCAATAAATGTTATTGTGTTTACAGCGGCACTACGAAGCCTGTCATCCTGTCGCTGTCCGGAGAGCAACATTTTGGCATGTTTGTAACTTCGTCTATGCGTGTGCAGTGAAAAACGAGAACGTTGTTGTTGTTGTTGTTGTAGCAGCATACAAATTCCCCAAAGACTTTTTGGGGAGCGTTGCTGGAGTGACAGTCCTTGGCCAGATATAAATCTGGGTCGTTCCGGTTACGTAGAGACGAGAATGTTCGAAGAAGTAGCTGTTTACTTTCGAACCCCGTTTAGATTGACGAACCCAATCAATGGTTGTCAAGGATTTTCCCAACGGGTTGAAATGTTTTAGGAAAAGGATTGTCCTAAATATATAGAAGACAGGAATTATGTTTGAAGTCAATTTATACAATAATAGAAATTTATTTTTATGCACATACCGCTCATTTACTTCAATAGTGCCATAATCCAAAAATATATAAATTTTGAGTTGAGCATGCAGAAATTACCACTACCTCCCTCTTCTCGACACCTGATGGAAGATCGACCTATCTTGGCAGCTAGTTCAAAAACTACCTATCTCAGATAATTTTTCAAAAACACTCTATTTCAGACTTCGATTCAAAAATGCCCTATCTCAACGTATTTTTAATATATTTTCAATTCGGATAGGGCGTTCTTGAAAAGTTGTATGTATGTTTTTCAGTCGCATTTTAAAATAGAACGTTCTTCAACCAAATTCTGAAATAGGGCTCTCTTAAAAAATACACATGTATTAAAATGAATAAAATTTGCTCAAGTAATTATTCTGCAAATATCGCCTGCAGTAATAACAAAGCGATAAAAAAACGACTCACCTTTTTACGAAAAACTTAGGTTACCCATGTTTTCCTGAAAGCGGCGATTCCCAAACTCCCAGTGTACCACAAATCAATTTTTTCTGTTGGCAATTACCGTCACATTGTTCAAAAAGAATTGACTTACACACATTTATTTTTTAAATTGAGAACAAAAGCAGAGAACGTATATGAACGAGAAGGCGTATTTCAAGGCGTATTTAACAAGGTGGTGTTGGCCGTATATAAGTAAAAAATTACACTAACAAATTATACGCTGATGTCCATACTGTCATTGGTATGAGTTACAACAAACACATCATTTTGACGTAATGGCCTCCACGGCGAAAAACTCAGCTGTCGCCCCAACACCACCTTGTTTAATACACCTTGGCGTATTTTCTGTGTGAACTAATTGTCGCCAAAAATTTTGAGTTTCGGTCGAGCAAATATACCACTCGTCGACGAAATGCACCACTTACCGGTACCACCTGATCTTTCAGCTTGTCCAGTTGCTTGATTAATATATTCTCGCGCACCACCTGTACATCCTGTCGCGATCGCACCCGTTTTATTAAATTGCAAAACATATCACGCTGGCGTGACTTATAAATACTAAAATAACAAAAACCAACAATCAAGGATAACTTTGTATTAAGCCCAGCAAACTTACGATTTTAGTGCTTCTTCTGTAGGTATTGCATCTGGTGGGCAGCCCAACTTAGCTGCCCACACCTGAAATATTTCTATATCCTTCTCTAACGGCATTGCCTAGCAAATAAATAATTTACTAAATTTTTTTACAAATTTATGCACTTTCGTTTTTATTTTTTTTTTTTGGCTATAGGAACCTAATCGATTGGTCCCCTAAATGGCAAGGTGTATAACCTCAAGTGCCAGGTTTGTAAAACGTGGTGTTTATCCTTCAGTCACAGTTTTTCCTTTATTTGTTGGGGTAGATGTTCTCATCGGTCTTTCGTTTTTAGAAATATGGCGCTACGTTGTTCCTATTTGAATTTTGGCACATGGATCGTTCACAATAGCGAACCAATAACCAAGATGGCAGAGATGTATCAGTGCTTCGATTGTAAAGGTAGAACTTCACCACAAACTACTTTTATTATAACGCTTTTTTATTGTAGCTTTGCGTTGAGACGTTTATACGCCGACGACCTTAAACAATTATCCATATCGCAAAATTTCTACAAATTTTGAAATCTGGATCGCGGATCGCAATAACGTCAATAAATATTGAACGTGTAGAACTTTTAAAACGCTATAAATACATTTCGTCAGTACATCTTGTACTCTCATAAGCCCAAATTACAATAACGCAGTGGCAGTTTTTCGAAATCAGCTGTTTTTTTAGAAAGTGTGGTTTTCAATGAAGCGACTCACAACACAGCAGTGGCAGCTAGCAGGGCTGCTCAGTTTAGCCCAAATTCTAAATTCACTGCCACTGCCTTCATCGCAGCAAACTTCGCATGCTGAATTTGACATAAATGAAACGCAGCCAACATCTGTTGATGTCAGTGAAGCCTAAAAGGCAACAACAAAAATGTAAACAAACAAAAAGGAATGTAAAAAAAAAACCGTCACTGACAACTCCGTATTGTGTTTGCTACGGCAGTGACTGCCAATATTAGCAGTAACAGCTGATTTTAAAAACTGTCACTGCCACTGCCACTGCGCTATTGTATTTTGGGCTATATTCCGAATATCGAAAACGTATTCGTTATGCTTTCGTTCTCGTTCCTTAAAACCTTTCAAAACAAATTGAAAAAATTTTAATTAACATGAGAAATTTCAAAATAGTTGTGGAATGCATTATCTGCAAATTATTCATACAAAATAAAAATATTTTCTTGCGTCATAATAAGCGTTCAGCACAAAAATTATGCAAATACTGACGCGATAAATATTGAGCATGTAGCATTCGTGCGTGATCCATCAGTCCATCAATATGGATCACGATCCAAATATCGTGATAATTACTGACCGTGCGACAGGGCCCTATGCAAAAATACACAGTCTACTCAACTGTCAGTTTCATCCTTTAGCGGAACGTACGCAAAGTACTCATTCTGATAGGCCCGTCAGAATGGATACTTGTACGTCAATAACGGAAAAGTATGCGAAGGAAGTGGCGTACGTACCGTAGAGATACGCCGCAATTAAGGTGTTGCGTCTGCAAACAAAAATCAGCTGTTCCTTATGGCCGTGTACTTGGGGTCTACACAAGTCAATTTTTTAGATACAATGGCTGCATTTCTTTATTCATTCTGAACGTTTGGAATAAACTTTTTTGTTTATTTATTCTTTGGAACGTTCCTGATAATATGTTGACGTATATTTCAAACGCATTCTGTTTATTCCGGCTGTGAAATGGGATTATCCGGAATGTATAAAGAAACGCAGCCAATAGCAAAAGTTTGCAGGGACGTGAACCGGATGAAAAATTTGGTCGTTTCGGTTCAGCGGTTCGAACCGTTGTCGTACTTCTGGACTGTTTCGTCAAAGCGGTTTTTTTGGTTTTTGAACCGGGATTTCAGTTCGGTTCAACGGTTCGAAAAACAAAAAAATAACGCGCAAATTTAAGTGTCAAGTGCAACAACGCGCATGGTTAAAGCATAAAACTTTTCCTTCGCTTTTCGTGACAGATTTGCTTTGACAGGTAAGATGAATTGTATGAAAATGCACAAAGCATGCCACATAGATCATTGAAGCTGCAGTGCGAAGTGAAAAGATGGCCAACTCCCATATTTATGCGCGCTTTGACAATCAGCCGGTTTAATATTTATTTTGGCTGCATTTCTTTATTCATTCTGAACATTTGGAATAAACTTTTTTGTTTACTTATTCTTTAGAATATTCCTGATGATATGCTAACGTATATTTCAAACGTATTCTGTTTTTTCCGGCTGTGAAATGGGATTATCCGGAATGTATAAAGAAACGCAGCCTTTGTTTCGTCCAAATTCGAGTATTCATGCAGAAACACAAAACTCAATTACATAGCTGATAATTTTAAAACAAAATGTCTAAAATCCACAGCAATTTTGACGAGTAAAAAAGCAGTGCAAAATTGATTTCTTGGCGTTCATTGTGGCATACCTTTTGCGTCTGGCGCTTTGCTGACAAAGTTATAAATGTCGCGCAAAGCTACAAAGTTTTATCTGGCATCAGCTTTAGGGTCAAGTTAGATGGGCTGCCATTACATTTGATATTGTCACATGGTAAAAAAACATGGTAGGTATTACCATGTTTAACAGAAAGCAAAAAAAAAGTGGGTACATTTATCTATTGAAAATTGGTTGAAACGAACTTTTAAATCTTTATAGAAAGTGGTTCGGTTTTCGGTTCGGACCAAACATATGTGGGAAATTTCGGTTTGGTTAATGGTTCAGTTAATTAATAGAAAAAAGCGGTTTTTCGGTTCAAAACCGGGTCGGTTCAAAACCGGTTCACGTCCCTGAGCAAAACATTCAGCCTTATCATGAGTTCCATTTGCTCCGAACCGGTTCACTTTTCACTTTTGGTTTCCATGGTCTTACTATGGGTGGATGACATATTTTCGGGTGAACTTTTTTTCAGGCGAAACTCAGGATAAGGCAGATTCACTTTTTTTTACTAATATAATGCGTGCGTCAAAAGTTGAGAGTTGGGCGAATTTTATCAGTTGCGGCAGTGCATGCGTTGCCTATGTGGCGTCTTCTATTCAAAATCACATAGTTAACTTGCATATCAGTCAAAAGCATCCCTGTGACGCAGAATTTCTATCTGGCGGGGCCTTAAGAACGTCGTTCAATTTCGGTTGGTCCCATACAAGTTGTACGTGCATGAGACATTAAATTGGCGGCGTGCGTGAATATTAGGTTGACGTGTTCCCCTTCTCGCCCAAGGAAAAGCGGTTTCAGATGGCGTCAGAAAACGCTCTCCCAACGCTTTTGTTCAGGTATGGCAATTAACAGTGGAAACTTGCGGTCTTCACCTGACGTTTATTACGCAGCATTACGTTAATTACGTTGATAACGCAGCTTTTTTAAGATAATCTTTAGAAGGTGGATACGTAGGGGCACACCAGGCGATTGTTGCTTTCATCTAAAAGTTGCCTGTAAATAATAAGAGAATTTTTTTTTGAATAACCCTGCACTTTGCAATGATCTGGCTACACTATCAAATGCAATAGCAATTTTTGACAATTGCGCGCATTTTTTTTTACAACTGACAGCGACGATTCCTTGAATGGACTACTTTATTTCAAAACTTCAATATACGCAGATGTGGAGTAGCGATTAATAATTATTTTTAACTTGGCATTATTTAATAAAGATTATTTGCTACGGGAAAGAAATACGTAGCTTTTAGCTAGTGAAAAATGAATAGGATTCAAATGCTTTTCAATCGCCAGCAGGGCATTGGTAAGTATTGTATGAAGCTAGTAGTTTTGTTTGTGTAGAAAAATTTTAGCGGCTGAAGTGGCGCGACTTGGCTCCAAACTCGAGAAGATTTCGCGGGAAAGCCGGTCGCCAAAAAGTTTTGTTGGTAGATAGGCGAAAGTTAGATAACAGAAGTACACTTTCGAACGATGAGAAATCGGTCATCAAAACGAAAATTGTGCTGTGTAAGCTCTTCTCATATAAAACTAAGTTCTTTTCACGTTCATGCATATGTGTTCTTGGTAATAAATAGTTTTCCATTAAATTTCAGCAAATGACTTCACATATGATTTTGCTTTACGACGGCTTTGTGTGGCCAAAGAAGACAGCTGGCGTGGAATATTGCCTTCTAATTATAGTTCAGACTATAATCCAGAACCACCGATATTTGCAGCGAAATTTGCAAACTGTGATAATTTCAGACATATTTTAGCCATTGCTAATGAAGATGGGAAGATAGCGCTACAAGATACCACAAAAAGAAACGAAGAACCCGAAGAGCGAGCACTCAATGCACCACAGTGTCATTACAACGCCGTTTTCGATTTGGAATGGGCGCCTGGGCAGATGAAATTCGTATCTGCTTCTGGTGACCACACGGCTAGCTTATGGCAAGTGGATGAAGGCGGCGAAATACGTAACATACGGTCCTTTGAAGGGCATACGCGTTCCGTAAAGACAGCGGCCTTTCGAAGACATGACCCATCTGTATTTGCCACAGGTGGACGAGATGGCGCGATTATAATTTGGGATACCCGTGCAAACTTAAATGTGGATTTAACACCACGAGCAGATAACTGCATTTATAGCGGACATGTCGGGGGACCGGGGACGCCAATGTCACAAAAAAAGCGTACACGCACACCTAAGATGACGGCTAATGCCACGTCAAGCAGCATTACAGGATTGGCTTTTCAGGTTGTCTATAAAAAATATATATATATGTTACCTCTGATAACTTGTATATTTCAATAGGATACCAACACTCTTATTTCATGTGGTGCAGGTGATGGCATCATAAAAGTATGGGACTTACGGCGAAATTATACCGCATATAAAAAAGAACCTCATCCTAAATATAGCCTACCTTATGCTGGCACAAGTACATTTAAAGGCTTCACTAATCTTATAGTCGATGAATCGGGTTCACGACTCTTTGCTAACTGCATGGACAATACAATCTACGCCTATAACCTATGCTCATATTCCTCGAAACCTATAGCACGATTCAAAGGCCTCTTAAATAGTACTTTCTATATAAAATCCTGCCTTAGTCCAGATGGAAAGTACTTGCTAAGTGGAAGTAGTGACGAGAAAGCTTATATATGGAACCTTAACTATCCAGATGAACCATTGGTGGCATTGTACGGCCACACAGTGGAGGTAACTTGTGTAGCATGGGGTTCCACACACGATCAGCCCATTGTAACATGTAGCGATGACGCAGTTCACAAAATTTGGCGCATTGGCCCGGAGAACATAAACGAAGGTGAATATTTGGAGTTATGTCGAGGGTATGCTAAGTATGAGCGTGAATTCGGAAAAAAGACACATGGGTCAACACATAAGTACAACTTACGTGATCTGGAGAATACACCCCGATCACTAAAGCGACTAATGGATCAGAACGAACGCACACCTAGCTCAGTTGAAAAGGTGACTATGAAACGCTCTTTTTTGGAGATGCTAGGCGCTGTTGGTGGTGGTGACGATAGTGACACCCAAGATGCGAAACGACAAAAGCCCTTGGAGTCCAGAGGTACATACAATGTTATATTTATATCGATTTTATAATGACATGCATTAATAACTTATTAGGTCGCCGATTATTTAGTCCTTCGTCGAATATATCCAATTCGTCGACATCACCACAAATGCGCTGCATTGCTTTACAGCTTAGTGTTATACCTGAAGAGCTTACTTCTTCTCCCCCGAGTCCTATAACAAGCCGAGTACCACATGCACACAACAATGACAGTAACCAAGAAAATACAGTGGGATCCACGCTACCATACGTTTTATTGAAGCACACACACCCAGCCATACCAACACCGCTTACTGAAAGATCAGTAACTGAAAACCATAACATTAATTATTCTTCACCACCAAACACATCAACGACGGCTTCTACCACAACTGCGCAACAGCCACCTTTGTCTTCGATGATATTTTCACCTACATCAAATCTGCCGAACTACGTACTTGACGGTGAGGCTCCACATCTGGGTATTATGTCACCCAAACGAAAGTACAAAGAAAAGGTTGATTGGTTAACTAAAATACGGAAACAAAAATTAATGTCGACACGTAATGCGTCCTTATCCGACAAAATTATTGAAGACTGCAATGGTGCAGTGTCCGTGTCCCCAGTAGCCTCATCGTCGTCACGACTACATAATTTGCGACAGTCTGAGGCTAGTCCGCGCGTCACATCGACTCCACGACGACGCATGTCAAGTGGCTCGCGAGATACTCGTGCAAATAATTCCCCTTCAACGTCTAGCCATCATAACCCACATCATCCAAAAACACCAACATCTAGTCGGCGCAACAGTGAAACCACAATTTTACGATTTTTCAGTGTTCGCACACAACAAACCAGAACTACAACTGAGCCTATACCGACCGGTCCAAACGCTACGGAAACTAATGACCTTGATCGTCTGCCATTGTCACCTGCGAATTCTAATACCCATAGTGGTAGCAGAGGACTCGCTTACAACCCATCCACACATGCTCAAGCTACAACAACTTGTAACGACTGATTTTTTAACGTCTTGATGCTTTAGCGTAAAAGTAATTAATTTTTCACATGCAATTTTGGTAATATGTATGCTTTACTTCGATTGTGCATCAATTTGTGCATATATCAATTGAAACAATGCGGGTATGCATACACCGTTATTTACTTTTTAAAAAAGTTTTTTTTTTTTATAATTAATAGACTTATTTTTAGTTTGTATGACATAATTTTAAGTGTAACTGAAGGACTTTTCTAAATGAAATAGAAAATTGCTTAGGCATATATGAGAAATAAATTGGAAGCCCGTTTTCGCAAAGCGTTAAAATTTTTGATTTTTTAACTTGCCTAAGTTCTGTACAAAATATGGTTATTTTTTGCTAACACAATTTTTATGTGGAAGATTTCTATATACTTTTTACTAATTAAAAAATGGTTATTTTAGGATGTTTCCTTTTGTTTTGAATGATATTCCCCCAAGCAGTTTTAAGGAATGTTGCTGAAGTGGCAGTCCTTGAAGTTGGGTCGTTCCGGTTTATCATGATATGTACATGGCTTGTTCGGGGCAAGTAATAAAAGTCGCAATATTGAAAATTTACATCACTGCTGCAAGTGCCCAACTGATAAAACGAAGTTGGAAATTCACAACGAACGTGATACTTCAATGATTCGCGCAATACTCTGGTTGTGAACTGCGTCTAAAACCCCTCTTCCTATGGTGCAAACCAGTTGTTGTTGTTGTTGTAACAGCATACAAACTCCCCAAAGACTTTTTGGGGAGTGTTGCTGGAGTGACAGTCCTTGGCCAGATATAAATCTGGGTCGTTCCGGTTACGTAGACCCGACTGTCGTGGGAACGTCGAAACTACCAGTTTCCTGTGTATACCGTTAGATGAGCTTGACAATACTTAGTATTCTTCTTCATTCTTTTCATATGCCCCACACATGCATTATTTTGAATATCTGTGGCTTTTGTTCACTTTTTATCACAAATCAGTCACGCTAATTACATACATATATGATTTGCTCCGACAAACATCCGTTCGTAATAGGCTATAACAGAATGCAAGTGTTTATCGTGCATCATGCATCGTACGAATTTATAATAGGGGTGTTGGTCATGACTTAGTAAGATGTACAACATGCGACGATTTTCAAATGAAATGCGATAAGACGGTATGTAATCTTTAAATGCATCTGGAATGCGGTGTCTGGTAAGGATACTCAACTTGTTCCCATTTTATATAAATATGCCTATAATCAACCTGAAATGAGCAATGGAATATCAATTTTTTCAATTGGGTCTACTAGAACATTCCTACCTCTCATCATTGGTCTAACGATTCAGAGCAGCCACATTCGAAATATGCGTACATATATCCCTGTGTTCAGAAATGTAACAAGCCAAAGCATTAGTTCTTATTTCTAAATTACAACTCATGGAAATGTCCAATATGTGCAACCGAACTTGAAGGACGAATTGAAACTTAAGTTGCGCAAAGGCATTCCTATCATTTACAGTTTAACAATGGGAGTATGTTTTGGTTTGAGGCTTATTTGAACGCAACCCATACCTACATACATATCTCGCCGGAGAATATTTCTTTAGATTTTGTAACCACCTCCACCTCATGAATGGTCATCGGAGTTGAACTACTTCAGCTGCTTCGCATGTTAAGGCTCCCCGGAATGACACCAACCAACTCTTCACATGCCCCAAACACATATGTAACTAACAGCTCTCCTGAGGCTTCGAAACACATCTCCTCCTATGATTGAAAGAGTAGGTGATCTTGCTAGGCAGTACTAAATAGCCGCTACAATAACAAGGAACCACCAAATTGCATTTTGAATTGTAAATAGAAGCAAAATGATAGCAAAATAATGGTAAATTATTAAAATATTGGAAAAGAGCAAAATAACGAGGAACCTTAACTTAATATAAAAACGCAGCTTCCAAAATTACATATATGGGAATAAAAAATGTCATCATTAGCAAAAAATTCATTTTTATTTTCATAACATAAGAAAACATTAAATTATATATGTAAGTAATTCCATTTTTAATATTAAGAACTTAAATGTTGAAATTCAATAAATGTTTATCCGTACGAGTGCATACGTAAAAAAAAATAAAATGCAATTCAATGCGAATAAATGAACGTACAATTTTGGAGTTGAACTTATCTATAAACATTGGTAATTTAAGAAATTATCCCATATAGCATCAAATATATAAAATCTATATCTATATAAAAAAAAATTACCTCAATATAAACATTTTAAAGGAAATAGAGTTGCTTTTCTAATGCGTTGTTCGGCAAACGATGAAGACTTTCAGCAACGAGGAATGCAAGTTTGTGTGCATATTGGCACACTGCAGGCACCCGACAGGTACCACTCCAATTGTAATACAAATGGGTCATTTTGTAAGTCAACATTTGTATTTTGTCGGCATCCAGTCCCATGGTGTCATATATCACATTGTAACTTGTAGGCGAAACAGTGCCCTGGTTTACAGATTGCGAAACTAAAAAGAAGTCGTAACGTTCAGGCAAAGTGATAATATCGTCAACCACAGTGCCGGGCGGCGGATTTCTGCCATTAATAAAGTAGCGAGTATTAATGCGCTTCGAAACGACTATAAAAGCCATGGGACAGGGCCCAGGTTCGCCTGCGTTTTTGTATATCTCATCCAATTTTTCTTTCAAAAACTTAACTTCAGTGTGGAAAACTTGATGTAGTTGTCCATCGCCGACTCCGTCACGATAGAAGAGGATTTTCCTTGGTAACATACCATGCTCATTTCGATATGCTTTGAGAGCATAAGTCATATTCATGCCTATTTCGTTCGAAAGCTCCTGGCCCTTCATATGTTGCGAAACCGCAGAGAAGTAATGCGGTTTTGATTTCAAGTCCATTGTGGCTACCAATGCTCCATACGATTTATTTTTCTCTTTTGCTGAATGGCAAACATCAAAACCAACTGTCATGAGACCAGATATTGGAATATCGGTCAGCCAGGGTGCTCCCATGAGTTTTGCGTTCATCTGGATCACAACTTTAGTGGCCACAGACATCAAACCGGATGCTTTGTCTCCACGAGGGGCAATCGTGCGCAGTGTTACGACTTGAGAGGGTACTGGACGGTCAACGCAACACTTCTTTTTGATGCAACTGTATTTCTCTTCATGAGCGCTTACCAGAACCACCATCAATAGCTGAGGATCTTCAGCAGCAACAGTGTTGATGGCTTGTGAATATGTACCAGCGCGATCGTCGTTCATTTGTTGATACCGAGGCTCTGCAATACCCATTTGCATACCATTGGCTGCTCTTATGCACATCTGCACAAAGTTTTGAACTTCTCGCAAATTGCGACCTGGTGCAATAACATACCACCTTTTCATGTCAACGTTTTTGTACATAGCGTTATTTCTGAACTCCCGGGTCCAGTCGGCGTAATCGTTGCACTCATAGCGTTTATTATTTCCAAACACAATTTTGCAGCTCGGTATGATTCGTCCAGGTACTTCGACGAGGTTTGTGTCCAGTCGCATACTCCAAGAATTTAAGAGTTCCACACTTTCGGGTGCCTGGTTCAAACGCCTATTGAATACCTTCAGTCGCTCAATACGTCTTTCGGGAGCCAAGCGGGTGAATTCACTCATGGCTCTCATCAATCTAAAGTTACTTCTCATAGCGTTTGTAAGGCCGGTTGAACGCGATAGTTCCGGAATCAGCATTATGAATTCATTCTGGCCACCACGTATATTACGTTCAGTTGGGCGAGAGACCAAAAGGGGTTGTTTTGCGTCCTTCAAATGAATGTTGTATCTCTTTTTATAGTACTCCATGTAAGAAATTTCGCCGTCTTTGGTTGAAAATTTGGACATTGGTGACGAGTTGAAATCTACATCATCAACTCGATAAGTTTTATTATTGTAGTCCGTGAGCACGATGGTTCCCACGACTTCTCGTTTAAAAACATTTTGGTAATCGGGCTTATCGAAGCATTCCTGCAAAATTTTATACACTGTATCAGTGCGCATGACCTTATGTGCAATCTCAGCACATAAAAGGATGTCGTTCTCATGCTGACGTATAGAAGTCTGATATCCTGGCCATAGTTCGAGACAATAGCTGTCTAGGGAATGCTTTGCTTTCGGGTCAAAGAAACTTCGTCCAACAAGTTGTAAATTTAAACCTTCCATAGCGCGGCGTAAAATAAGATTTAGCACCTGCAGCTGTTGTGCATCAGTCACTTCCAACTGCCCGACGTGCTTGATTTTTATTTGAATAGTTTCCCCTTCGCGGTTTTTAGTCAAGAGTTCCATTTGCTTGTTTTCCAAGTACTTTGCGCAAAACAAAACAGTGCCATCGAATATGTATCCGCCAAAAAGATCTTTATGATGATACAAATAAGCACGTCTTAAACGCACCATGTCTATATCGGGAGCAAAATCCACGCGATATTGGTAAATAGACCACTGTGGTTTTTTTAACACGCGAAAGTAGTTGGTTTGAATTACCACTTTCTTACCAGTTTTTCCAGATTTGTTTTCACAGGTAGCTGGACGCGATGCTATTACTTCAGTTAAAACACGCTTTCCTCGCACTGCTCCACGAGTGTCTTCCCTTACAACCGGTGCTTCTCCTACTGGAATTTCCCTATGCGTTGTTGCTCGTCCTTGCATAACTGGTGCAGCGGGACGTTGTTGAATTGGTGCAGTACTACAGCTTGGCTGTTGCGGAACAGTGGAACCTCGGGCTACAGCTGAACCACGAGATGCAGGCAAAGGTTGCCCCCAAGCAGACGTAGTGGGAGCTGTGGTAGGGTAACCTCTTGGCGGACCCGGTGCCCGCAAAGGTTCACCCTGCTGACCTGGTGCCCGAGAAGTTTCACCCTGTTGACCAACTCTTCTGTTTCGAGCATCGCCACGAGGCTGTTGAGGATTAGTGGCCCGGCCGCGCCCTCTTGAGCGCCCAGCGCTATTTAGCTTATCCATTTTTCACAAATTTGATCTAATACGTCGCGAACAAAGATAGGAAATAAAACCCGCTTGCAAGCCAACGCACGCCAACAGGCTGTAGGTTATTAGGGTTGCCATGTTTGGTAGGTAGTGTCGTGAATTTAGGAGGAATTTCGACTTTTTGAATTGTTTAAATTGTTTGATATTAATTGTAGATTTTTTTAATTAAGTTTTTGCGAAGAAATATTCGAAATGTGAAAATGATTAATTATATGGTGTTAACATTCAAAATTTCAATATTATAAATTCACATATCCATTTCTATCAACTATTACTAGGAATAGATCAATGTGATTTCCTATAGTAAATTATCTCTTATTCAGCTTTATACAAAACAATTTAGTTTTTTGGTTACATTTTCGTTGGTTGACGGCAAATTCGTAATATTCATATATGAAAACATTGTTGTTTGGCATCCCTTTTAATTTCAAGATGGCAACCGAATTTCGAAAAAGGTTCATCCTATGTACAGTTCGGTTTCTAATCAGATGAAACCATCGTGCAAGCATGCACATTGTATGAAACAGTTATATGATCACGTTACATACAAACTAAATAAATACACTTATTTATGTCAGTGTTGCCAGAAGCTTCAGTTATCTTCAAAATGAAGAAATATTCATAAATAAGCAGAAAATTTTCACATGAAGATAATTATAACAAAATAAACTCCATACAAAAAGTCTTCAAAGTGAAGATATCTGGCAGCACATGCAGATTTTTTTTTTTTTGATAGTTGGCAACAAATTTTTGTTTTTGGGCAGGTGCCTATTGATAGAGGAAATTTTGACGGATTAAAGTAAAAATTTGGCATTTCTCGTGGTGAATACGAACGTCCGAATTTTTTCTACCTTACTGCCCGTCTCCACAGGATAAAGTTTATATCTTGATACATATGTGAGAATATAATTTACCAATGGAGACCGCTCATTGCTCTTCGAGAGCAATATATATCAGAGCTTATATCTTGCCATTTATTGCCGGCAATTTGGTAGTTTGACAGCTACATTTTCATTTGCACGAAAACTTCGTGGCTTTTATTTTAATATAAAAGCAAAAATTGAGCTGTTTCCTGTTAAAATATTTGTAATTAGGTATTTGTTTGTAAAATAGCCTATTTTTTAAATTTTTTAAGCGATTAAATCCGACAAAAATACGTTTTTGAAGCTATCATACAAATGCTTATATCAAGATATAAGAAAGCCCACACAAATATTGCCGCTGATATAACTTATATCTAGCGACCAAAATGACAGCTGGCCAGCAATAAATTGTATCCTGTGGAGACGGCCAGTAACAATAGCCCATTACGGTCCGTCTCCACTGCAAAGTTTTTGCTTTCCCTCTAATTTGTCTAATGTAAATTTTATCAGAAATCGCGAAATTTGTGCGTGAGCATTTTTATTTATCTTGATTAAAGCATTTGTAAAACTAGAAATTTTGCTAAGTACATAATAACCAGTGATCGGATTTTTAGGACCTAAAAACCTATAAAAAAGGCACAATAAAGTAACGAAATAGGCTTGAAAAGGCAAAATAAAATAGCGAAAAAGGCAGGAAAAGGCACTAGGTATTGCAAAAAAGGCAAAACAAAATAGCGAAAAAGGCATGAAAAGGCATTGCAAAAAAGGCAAAATTAGGCACTAAACAAATACAGAAAATACGAAGAACAATAAAAAAATACATTGGCCCGTAGTCATAGTCAAAATAAAGTCGACTTTAAAGTTAGTTGCAGCTTTTTGACATAATTTTCAATGGGATATCTGTCAAAAAAGCTGCAACTAACTTTAAAGTCGACTTTATTTTGACTATGACTACGGGCCATTTATTTTAGAAATGTTTATATTACAAGTAAAAAGAGAAAAACTAGTTTCATTATAAGAAAAATTCGTACTTTGAATCTTTGACTATTTTATCCTTTCGAGTTTCTAACTCATAAAACTTTATTCTGTATAGTTGTAATAACATTGGACCACAAGATGCATTTTGAAGTCTTCTGGCAGCATTTTCATTCGATTTTCGAGAAGAAAAGCCTTGGATGTACTAAATGGGTGCTCGACGTAAGTTGATACAAGCGGCGCCCAATTTAAATATGGATCGTTTGAAACTTTCATATTATCAGGAATAAGGGTGTTTACCTCGCGCTTTATAATTTTATCCACACCCCTTGTTGTCTCCAAGCCTTCGTTAGCTGAGAAAACGGCTTTGAACTTTTTCAACACCAATTTGGCAAGAGGTCCCTGCGCTTCTATAAGCCGCATGAGCATGCGTATATTTTTTAATCTTAAAAAAAAATTGTAAATGTTATAATCACTTTTTTAAAGGTAGAAAAGGCAAATATCTTAAAACAGGCAACATCAAATGTGTATATATGGAATCAGGGAAAGCTAAATCGTGGACATTCTTAATCGAATATACTCTCTCTTTAGCAAAAAAAAAGGCAATTTCCATAAAATCCGTTCCCTGATAATAACAAACAATTTAATTTTTTTTGTGCTTTTACATAAAAGTATCAACAATGTTGCCGCCACGAAGTTTTCGCGCAAATATTATTCGGCTATTTTTTATTGCAATGAGTAACACTTTACAAACATATTTAAATTTGCTTATTTTTAATATGGTTTTTCCCTTGGACTTGCGGTGATCTCAGTGCGGCACTTTGCGCTGTTGTTCTAAAGAGAGTTCTGCCCACCCCAAATAGCAATACAAAATGGCACAAATGCAACAATCCACTGGAGATATTCGTGCTTGGATATGTATTCCAGCAGAGTTCAATTAAACCAAGCAATAGAAATCGTATGCCCAAACTGTAATCGGTTGACCATGTGAGGTATGGCAATGAATGAAAGTACCATACGTAGAATTGGTAATGTAAAGAACGAGCGCAAATTAAGCCAATAAAATTACATAAGAAGAATGGCAAGATGGCGAGTTGCGTACACTTTTCGAAGTGTATAGATACATTTTCTTCATCCGCCGGAAGCACATCTTGATGCTGCTTGGGACCTTTTAGTCCAGTACTTCTTTGCAAGCCTTTTTCAAATGACTTTAAAAAGGCTTGTTGATCGGGTGTAAGTCTCTCTTCCGCTTCCTCCAACTTTACTTCTTTAGTTTTATTGTGTTTTTTGCTGTTTTGTAGTTTTATTTCCAGATTTTTACGCTGTATTTGGGGTTGTAATTGATCTTGTAGAGCTCGCAGTCGGACATAATTTTTAAAAAATGTATATGCTGGCTTTGCAAATAATAGAAGAAGCAGAAGATGTGCCAATAGCAGAGAAATGTGAAAAATGTTATTTTCAAATAATTCGCGTGGCAGGAATCTGTAGTTAACGGTCCATTTGTGTTCAAAAACCCGTCCAAAATTGAAACTTCCTTTTATATATTCCAGAGGATATGTAATTAGAAAAGGTGCTCCCAGAAGTAACTGCAAACAGCCGCAAATTGCTAAATGTAAAATAGTTTGAAAGTAACCCAGATTGACCAAGTAGAAGAGCAGTAAAGCAGGAGCAAACAGTAAGATATTCATCTTTATGCCCACCGCCAAACTAAAGAATATACTCCCAAGAGTCCATCGACGATCCAGGAACAAATTTAGGGCAGCATATAAAAATAATATTGCAACTGGATCATTGAAGAGCCGTAGAACGTATATGGAGTGTATACGGTACGAGGTAAAGGCACTTAACACCAGCACGTAGGGCGGGACTTTACGGCTTTTGGTGTACAAGCGAAGCACAAACCACATTTGTAAAAGGTATATACAGACGAATATGTATTGAGCCAAGCGTATATTTTGTCCATGCGATGTTATATAGTAGAATGCCGCATATATATAGACAAAAGCTGCAGGATATACTAGGGGTCCAGTGTCACCTACAAAAAAAAATATATATATATATATACATACATATAATTTGTTTGAGTTTCCATTCAAAAATTTTTAAGCAAGTTATTAAATTTTTTTGTGAAATATTCAATTCGGTCTATTTAAAACCATGATAAAAATACCATATAAAAATATATCATGTTTAAAACAATAAAATCAAAATTAGCAAGCAAAAATAAATAAGTTTAAAGCTTATTGGTGTCACTCTGTGTCAAATATTTCAATTTACATCACCGTGAACGGTCACTCAGCTGTGAATTGCTAATGATGAAAAAGAAGCAGGTCTTGTAAAGCATGGCCGCCGCTGTTACCGCATAGGAATGTTCCTTTCCGAAGAAGTTATTGTGAAAATGATTTCGTCAGCTAAGACAATTAATCTACGTACAGTGCGTCAGCTTTCAAATCGCGTTATCAATTGTTATTCTGCCGAACGTTTGGCGGGGCAATCAATATCACAAAGACGTTTCTTCGCCGGCTGGAATGGACGTTGTAAAACATTGCCGAGTTTGCTGCTGACAAAAACGCCAAGGCAGCAGCAGCGGTTTGGTATACATCTAACCAATGTTTTGGACGCCAAAGACTATTATCAGATTTTGGGCGTAGCTAAAAACGCTAGTGCTAAAGACATTAAAAAGGCGTATTATCAGCTCGCTAAAAAGTATCACCCGGATACCAACAAGAATGATCCAGATTCGGGCAAAAAATTTCAAGAAGTTTCTGAAGCCTACGAAGTTCTGAGCGATGATACTAAGAGACGAGAATATGATACATATGGCCAAACATCTGAGAACATCGGACGTGCTGGGGGCTTCGGGGGGCAGGGGCCACAAGGATTTTCTCAAAGTTGGCAATTTCGATCAACAATAGATCCGGAAGAGCTGTTCCGTAAAATATTTGGAGAAGCAAACTTTCGGTCTAATAGTTTTGACGACTTCGCCGATTCAAAATTTGGTTTCGGTGCTGCACAAGAGATTGTCATGGATTTGACTTTTGCACAAGCAGCAAGAGGCGTTAATAAGGACGTCAACGTAAACGTTGTCGATACATGTATGAAATGCAATGGATCGAAATGTGAGCCTGGCACTAAACCCGGACGCTGCCAGTACTGTAATGGTACAGGCATGGAAACTATTTCTACCGGCCCTTTCGTTATGCGTTCTACTTGCCGTTATTGCCAAGGCACACGACAATACATAAAATATCCTTGTACTGAGTGTGAAGGCAAGGGTCAAACGGTGCAGCGCAAGAAAGTTACCGTACCTGTGCCGGCAGGTATCGAGAACGGACAGACAGTACGAATGCAGGTTGGGCGTAAAGAACTTTTTGTAACCTTCCGCGTTGAACCGAGCAAATATTTCAAACGAGAGGGAGCTGATGTACATACTGAGGCTTCGATTTCAATATCACAGGCAGTATTTGGTGGTACTGTACGCGTACAAGGTGTATACGAGGATCAGTGGATCAATATACCACCAGGTACGTCTTCACATCACAAAGTATTCCTACGTGGAAAGGGTTTAAAACGTGTAAATGCGCATGGACATGGCGATCACTACATTAATATTAAAATCGAAGCACCAAAAAATCTTACATCCGAACAAAAGGCATTGCTGGAAGCATATGCAGAATTGGAAACGGACACACCGGGACAGATTAATGGTATTACCAGACGAAAAGATGGCACCAAAAAGGCTACGTAATTACACTTAAAACAATTTTTTGTACCTACTCAAGTAGTTATTTACCAAATATTTTTTGTTACAGAACAGCGGACACCCCGAAAACGTTCCTATCGAAAATTAAATCGCTCTTTAACAGACAGTCCAGTTAATATTAAAAATTTTCAGTGTGGGTATGGGTAGGACTTGATGATCACTCCGTTATGTTAGGAACGACTTGGTCGACCAAACAAGTGTTTGCTTTAATTGTTTTAGTTAGTATAATAGACGATGGTAACGAAATAAAATATAAATTACTATATATACTAGTTGTAACGAAAAAAGGTCTTCTATTTAAAATAACAAATACATTGAAGTTGATATTAACGACAATGTATATTGATCTAACAGGAGCCTGATTCGTGCTGCTGAGATGGATTGGAGTAACACATTGATTAATGGGTCAATTATGGATGGCAACGCAACCCCAGTTGAGTTACCGTTGGGCAACGCTTGAAATGAAAATGTATAGTAGGCATAGCAACTAGATAAGTTCTATAAAGTTGATAATAAAATTTTTAAGAACCTGCAACTAACACTTGACTGTAAATAAGCTGAAGAAACAGTTGAAACAGGTTAAAAATAAATAAATAATTTCAATCAAAAATTTCCGTGGCAACACAAATATGCAGTTGCCAATATAGAAACTCAGTTGCAAGCTTTCATTGGCCATCTGTAATACCGTTTCAGGCACTGGCCACCCAACTGAAGTTCGGTTGCCATCCGTAATCGACCCATAAGGAACCGGGTTTGAAGTTATCATTGAGATAACTAGCAGTATTTAGGTATGTACATATATTGAAATCATAGTAACACTCTTCTTCCTTTATCTTTTATATCTGATATTTCCACGAGCTGGATTGACACCCCGTCTCTGCTTGAGATGTTGCAGTTCTGTGGGCCGTATAGAAATAAAAAATAGGCAATTCTTAAAATTTCAGAGCTTTTATTCGATTTATTCAAACATAATTGAAATAAAAGCTCTGAAATTTTAAGAAAAAGTAATTGCTTAATTTTTATTCATACGGTCCATTGTTCCGAGTAGAAATCTCCGTCGGTTTGAGATATTTCGAGTCAGCTTTAACAAAACATTTTTTAATTTATTTTGTATGTATGTATGCAGATCATACATGAAAAAATAAATAAATATGAACATACATGTGCATCTCAGCGGAAGCAGTGCATCCATATCGGACAAATATTGACCCTTAGCTGAATGTCCTCAATTGTTATTACGTAACTTTATTGTATATATAAACTTTTTTGAATGCCTAGTAGTTGTTACTCATTGAAGTGAATCAATCAATGGAGTCAGACTTGAGACTTCCTTTTTTTTTGGAAATCAGAAGCGCTCATAACCCTACTCGACTTATATTGGCACCATAAATGTTCATATTTAACGAGGTCTCTTTAGATTAAAAATAGAATGCTAACATGCTGCCATTATCTCTTAAGGAAAATTGTTAATATAAAAACTAACCTTTGAGTTGCGCATAGTTTAAGGTTCCATTTAGAAATCCCTCGCATTCCTGCATGTAAGCTATCCAATCTATTTCTGTATAAGGTACGCGCCATATTACTAAGACGTTTATTAGTAGCTCCGCCAGCAAGATTATTATCGTGACCACTGGCAAAGCCGCTGCATCAAATATCAAATACTTTACGTACTCGAAATTCAAATACTTTTTGAACAATTGTTTAACATT